ATAAATAAATATATTTTGACAAAAATATAAAAATAAATAAATAATGAGAGGATAGAGGAAAGACTCCAGAAGCAGCAGCGAGTTCAAATCTTATGTACTTATTTTTGTGTGTGGTTTTTCTATGACATCTATTATTAATTGATACGTGTTCATAAGCTTAATCTTTCTTATTTTTTGAAAATATGATATTATCTACATTAAAGGGGCGGGAGAGTGAGCTTAGCCTCATAATGGGCTAGTAATAATGTGGTTCAAATTCGTCTTCGATGAAAAATCGAACCTAAAATCTCTCACTTACAAACCAAGAGGAATACCACTATACCGTAGTATTAAGTGGCAAGCTTATTCCTTCTTAACTCTATTATTATTTATTATGAACTTAAACAAGTCAATCAATGAAAGAAATCAAAGAGAAACCGTACACAAAATAACGTCAGAGGATTTGAACTAAGCAGCAGCAAGCAGAACAAATTTAGGAAAGCATTAATCAATGCACTTCAGTTCAGTTGAGTTCAAATCACGCCTGGTCATGTGCTTCTCTCTCTTTGTTTCTACAATTATACGCCTCCCCTCACTTGGCAGCATGTGCTCTTGTCCCACTTGCTCTTTACGATATGTAAATATGTTTGCTCGCTCACACATTCATGGAGGAGGATCCTCTTCATATTCTTTTTGTGAGGATTCTAGAGATCTTTGTCCGTTCATCGGACATCGTGCAGCTAGCTTTCGTTAGATATTGTTTGTGTTTAATTTTAAATATAAAAAATTCAATATGATTTCTAACCGCGCAATATACGATAAACGGATAGGATGTGAGAATTAGGATGGGATCCAAATCCCTTATTCATATGCCCATTAGTCAATCATTGCTTTCTCTATCAGCATCAATCCATCCATCTCCTTATTTCCTGCTTTGGCGCCAAGCTGTTAGGTTCAGTCGCACACGCATCATGCACGCGTAAACTATTCATAAGCATTCATATTTAGTAAATAATTAGGATCAGTTCACGCGTGTGTACACCAAATGCATCATTTGTCTTGACATGTTTGGTGACACATCTTCATCATATAATATCCATTTGGTAGTTGCTTTCAAAATTGTTCAATTGGGATCGTCTTATTTTGAAATCCATCCCTTTTATAAGGTGACAACAAATGTTTACAACTCATGGGAAAATACGTGTGGTATTAAGTAATGTATTTGAAGGAAGTTGAGGTTTCACTATAAAATCAATTGACAATATGGGGAGTAGTCCAACTTCTTATAAGCCCTTGTAAGGTTTTTCATTTCACTAATGTGAGACTATTTTACCTCACATTCTCACACCTCCTCACGTGTGGCGAATTTTCAAGCCAAATACGTGGACAACACAAATTGAGTGACGTGGAGAAAGTTGAGGTTCACACGTGATGTGAAATATTCTAACACACAAATTAAACCATCTTTTTGATAATTGTAGTATGGATAAGTAGGGATCGTTCTAGGCCGGGGATTAAGAGGGATGCTAATCTACTCAAATAAGACTCAAAAACACTTAACTAGGCTTGAAAACACTTGAATAGACTCAAAGAACTCAAAACAAACTAAAAGGACTCAAAACAGCACAAAACAATCAAATAGACTCAAACTAGACACTAGAGGGTGAATTGGACGAAAATTAGGACTAGTCAGACTCAAAACACTTAAAAACACAAATTGGACAAATTCTAACTAACTTGACACAGCAAAGTAAAGGGGATTGGGTTTTTGACGAATTTAAAGTAAAGACAAGTAAATTAAAAACTTAAGCAAATTTAGCACGAATTTGGGAGAAAATATGGGTGATTGGCTAGCTAGAGGGTTCTTCTCCACACATGGCACACCTGCATACAAATCGATTTTCAGCTGCTTTTCCAATAAACCATGAACCTCAACGCTCCAGATTAACCGTGAACAGCACTAATTAACCCTCATATTTTCCTTAAGTCATTGAATTGGATGGACAACACATCAGCAACCAAATTATTCTTCAATAGTTCCCTACATGAACAACATAATAGATATACAATCAAAGATCATTAAGCTTTGTGAAAATCATAAGCATTGACAAGGCATTCGTAACTATGACAACATGATACTCCTGCTAGGAATTCACTTAACACGATTGTGACTAGCAACCTCCACTACTTGTGAATATAAGTTCATAACTATTAGGTGAAATTCCCTTATATTCTAGCATTAAATCCCAACATGTAAACTAAGTGTGCACCCTTAATCAACAAACAAGAATAAGTTATGAATCAAACAGTTAAGTAAATTGCATTCACGATTCATGAAATCACAACTGGAAGTAATCAATTCATATTGCAAATATGTTCATGGCTTTGAATTTCCTCCTAGCTAAAACAAGTTTAGCTCCTCATGTTTGCAATTAAACAAAGACAATTAAATTTAAACATCAAAACAACGGATAGAATACATCTAGAAACGCTCCAACAATCCAACGTCTTGAATGGCAAGCACGGCTCCAGGGGTCTCCTCTCCTATCTCCTTGCAAAGCTGCGACACAATGGGATGAATGTGTATGAGGGATGTATGGGACGAATTTGTGATGGAAGGTGGGTAATTTCTAAGTACTGCGGCACTTTATATTTATAGGGAGAATGTAAGGCACGGCTAGGGTGAGTAGGAAGAGAATTAGGACTCCAAATCATCAAGGAATAAGGATACTTCTAATCAGATTCCAAGGAGGAAAAGAATTAATGTGTTTAGATGGATTAGGACTCCTAAATTCAGATGGGAAGGATTTAGAATAGGATAAGGACTCCTTTTGCAGCTGGAGATAAGGTAGAATAAGATAAGATAAGGTTAATTTGAATAAGATAAGGTTGGATAAGGTTTTGGATAATGTTCCTTCTTTTTAGCTGAATCCTTATCTTCTTTGTCATGAATTCATTTTCTTCATCTTTTTAGCACATTCCTAGCCTCTTGAACTTCAAAAACATCCATCCACCTTGCTCTATGAATGTGCTATCCATTCTTGGCCCAAAACTACTCCAAAATGCTCAAAATTGCACTTTCTTGCCAACTTTGTCATTTGGACCTACAAGCACACGAACATAGCTTAAATCACTATAATAAACAGAAACTAACTATGAAAGTGCAAGAAAACAAGCTAACTAAGTCGCATAAATATGCTCCTATCAACACGTTAGCCAATCTGCTCTGATACCATGAAGAAAGTTGAGGTTCCACCATAAACCAATTGGCAATATGGGTGTAGGACAACCTCTTATAAAACCTTGCAAGATTTCTCCTTTCACGAGCATGTGTAGCCGTTAGGCTTCACACGTGGGCAAATCTGCTCTGATACCATGAAGAAAGTTGAGGTTCCACCATAATTCAATTGGCAATGTGGGGGTAGCACAACCTGTTATAAACCCTTGCAAGATTTCTCCTTTCACTAATGTGAGACTCTTTTACCTTCACTTTCTCATAGGAGAGAGATGCGCAAAGTAACATAGATCCAAAAGAAAGTTCAACATACGTCCTCTTGCTTATGCATTAGACTCGGCAAGGAACTTGAGCTTTATGGTTAAAAATGTCAACTAATGTCTTGGAATCACCTTCCACGATGAACTTCGTAAACCCAGCTTCACCTGTACTCTCCATCAAAATTAATCTTGATAAAATCATTAAGGGAAAATTCTCAATCGTAATTATTTATATTTTTCTTCATTGGTTCGAAGTTATTTTATTAGCTTTCTTGTAATTAGTTAGAAATTCTTTTATATGAATAATAGAATGTTGGGTTGTGGACTATTTTAGTGCACATATGCGGGCCCATGGTGGGTGACGCAAGCATAAATAATCATATTAACATGCATGATTAGTTGAACATAATAACAGTGGATTCTGTTTAATCATATTTAATTAATTCATATGATCATGATCCATCGACGTGCTTGTGTTCATGCAAAATGAATTAATAATACATGCATAAGCTTAGAATAGTTTAGAATCAATTTTTAGATTTCATATGCGAACGAATTCGTTGTTTTTGAGGTTCCCAAGTGTTAGCCCTCTACTAGTATCCACACAAATGAATCTTCGTTGTGAAGCAAGATGACAACGATCTACTAGGAAGTTCTCCTCCCGATGGTATGCGTCAAAAGGTGTGGGTGGTGTTTGTTTCTCAATTTCTCTAAATTGGAAAACCTAAATTCCTTCTCTCTAATTTTTGTTTATCAATTTGTGAATTCTTTATTAGGACTAAAGATGCCTTAAGCTTATATATAGAACAATTTGATAAGCCAATAGGATTATAAATTAATCATCCACCATTACATGTGTACCGCAAGCCCTAAAAGCTCTTTTCTTGGGCTTGCAACACCTCTCTAAGGCCATGTCCAACCTAGGGTTGGCCAGATGGCTCGTTTTAGCCTTCTAGCCCTCCAAGATAATAATATTTTAATGAACAATATAAGGTCATATTTACCTCCGTCTCCAACCGAGGGCCAAAGGGCCATATGGCTCGTTTTAGCTCTGTCACAAAAAACCGTCTCCAATCGAGGGCCAAAGGGCCATAAGGCCAAACATAATTTATTATTTAAAAACTACCACTTAAATTCAAATCCAACGGCTAAGTGATATCAGCATGACATCAACTAGCCGTTGGATTTTATTTATTTTTATTTTTTTTGCTATAAATAAGGTGGATATTGGGCTATAATTCACACAATTTTGAATTCAATCTATTTCAATTCAAGTTTGCAATGAATTCCAACGTTGGATCCTCTTCGGATTCCAACTGGGGTCCACATCCAATTCCAAATTGGAAGAAAAATGGGCGCAAATGAGACAAAAAGATGAGGAGTTTGATGAAAAAGTTCAAGTAAGGTGTAACAAACAAAACAGAGCAGCAACCATGGCTACAACCATGGTGTGTCAGCCAACTGAGGAACAACCTCAATAGGGTGGCTCCATTGCTGGTCGCTCTTACAAACCATGAAACAAAGTAATGACGCATGCCAATCTGATGAACAACTACTTCAACCCTAACTCGGTGTACATAGAAGAGGATTTTAGACGTCGCTTTCGGATGAGGCGTCATGTCTTCGAGCGTTTACTTCATGATGTCCAACATCCATACTTTCGACAGAATCGGGATAGAGCAGGCCGTCCTAGTTTCTCACCTCATCAGAAGGTTATTGTTGTACTCCGAATGATAGCCTATGGCTCCCTAGTTGATTTGATGGATGAAACCCATGGTATGTCTGAGTCTACATGCCTTGATACTCTTGAACAATTCTGTGACACAATTGTTCAGGTTTACAAAGACGAGTACCTCCGTGAGCCAAATCAAGAATATCTGAATCAGCTCCTTCGCAAAGTTGAAGATCATGGGTTTCCAGGCATGATAGGGTCATTAGACTGCATGCATTGGGATTGGAAAAATTGTCCCACCGGACGGCAATGAGGCTTTTTAATGTTGTATAATAGTTTAGGAAGTTATAGAAAAAAATGGAATTTATAAAAAATATGAAACAAATTTTGTAAAATAGAAGTTATAGGAAAAAAAAATAGAATGAGAGAGAGAGAGAGAGAGAGAGAGAAGGCATTGCGTTGAAGTCAAGACTCAGAGTAGGGGTGGGCTTGGTTTTAATCGGTTCGATTTGATTTTTTGGGTTTGGTTTAATTTCTGTTCGGTTTGGATTCGGTTCTATTATTATTATTATTATTATTATTAACTAAAAGTTGTCTTTTAACAAACCTGAACTTATTTTTATTTTTACCATAGAGATTTTGTAAAACTTCAAAGCTACACTACATAAAATTTCAAATTTCAAGTCTAAAATAAACATTCCAAATTTTAAAAAAGTTCAAACTTCAAGTCTAAAATAAACTTCAACAATCCACATCCACAATTACCCATTAAAATCGTAAAATAAACATTCCAAAAAAAGTTCAAACTTCAACAATTCAAGGCTTCCACACTTCAGGTTCCAGTCTCAACACTTCAACACCTAACCATTTCAAGCTTGAATTTCGTTGCTATTTCTAAAAAAAAAAAAAACGAACATCATAATTAAACATTATTTTAAAAACATACTATAACAAATCAAATAATTCATACAATAAATAAAACTACATTCTCAACTTCTTCACAAAACTCAATCTCCTCAATGGTTGGCTCATGTTGTAATGCAACATGGTAAATCTAATCCATTTTTTGGTACATATCAAAGCCTCCACCAGTTTTAAACTCAAAGAACGATATGGATCAATTATCTATCCACTTGTGCCAAAGAAGGATTCTGAAGCTATATTTGATACGAGAATAGCTAGAATCTCTCTTGCAACACATGCCAAAATATGATATACCTCATTCACCCTCCATCAATATTGACTAGCATATGTGTGATACCCATACACTTACCAAAATTTTCAATATTATTGGTTTGGTATTTTTTGATTGATTTCGGTACGGATCGGATCATTTTGGTGAATCACGCGTAAACACATAAGTAGAGGAGATGAAAAGTCATAAGGTATAGCTAATGGAAAGAGATTCACAACTATTTCTGATGTGATATAAACTAGCACTCAAACTTAAACCCTCTTTTTGACAATTGTAGTATGGATAAGTAGGGATCATTCTAGGCCGGGGATTAGGAGGGAATGCTAATCTACTCAAATTAGACTCAATTACACTTAACTAGACTCTTATGACTTAAGACTAACTCAAACTACTCAAAACTACACAAATCAAACAAATTGACTCAAAACTAACACTAAGGATGACTTTGGACGAAAATTAAACTAAAAAGACTCAAAACAATGTGATTGGATGAAATCTAACTTATGTTGACTCAAAACACTAAAAAGAAACCAGTTTGGAAAGATTCTAACTAAAAGACACGAAATATAAAGGGGGAGTGGTTTTTGACAAATTTAAAGTAAAAGCAAACATATTTAAAGACTCTAAACAACTTTGGACGAAATTTGGTGTTTTAATGGGTGAATGGCTAGCTAGAGGGTTCATCTCCACACATGTCACATATGCATACAAATCGATTTCCAGTTATTATTCCTATCAACCATGAATGACAACACCTCAGATTAACCGTGGACAGTACTAATTAACCCTTAGATTTTCATAAGTTCATTGAATTGGACTCAATGTCGCAACCAAATTATTCTTATCAAGTTCCCTACACGAACAACATGATAGAGATACATATCAAAGATCATTAAGTACTGTGAAAATCATAAGCATTGACAAGGCATTCGTAACTATGAACAGCATGATACTCCTGCCAGGAATTTTACTTAACGCGATCATGACCAGTGACCTCCACTACTTATAAATATAAGTTCATAACTATTAGGTGAAACTCCCTTATATTTTAGCATCAAATCCATGCATGCAAACTAAGTAGGCCTCCTTAATCAACACACAAGAATAAGTTTTGAATCAAACAGTTAAGCAAATTGCATTCACAATTTATGAAACAATAACTGGATGTAATCAATTCATATGCAATCTATGTTCATGGCTTTGAATCCACCTCTAGCTAAAACAAATTTAGTTCCTCATGTTCGCACTTAAACAAAGATAACTTAAATTAAACATTGAAAATAAAAGATAGAATACACCTAGGAACATTCTAGCAATCCAAGCTTGAATGGCAGGGCATAGCTCCAAGGGTCTCCTTGAAGGAAAAATTTTGTCCTAGCTAAGAACATGTGAGAATATTTGAACACATATGCAAACTATTAACACATTAAAGTAGGCATGCATTCAAAAACAATTCTAAAACCCATGACTTTCAAAGCCTAGTGAATGGTGAACCATAAGACTCTTTAACAACATTAAAGAGAAGGCAAGATTTAGAGATTTATTACCCTTGAAGCTCATCCTTGTTTACACAAGGGATTCACCCAAGTGGAGGGCCTTCAAGTCACCTCCTAGTTCCTTGGATCTTCCTTATGATTTCCTTCCCTTTTGTGCTCCTTTGCTCCTTGAGGATGTAAGGAAAGGATCTCCAAAAACACCAAAGGTTTGGTGTCTCTAAGTCTCCACACCAAGGATGAAGTGTGAAGATGAAATGGATGACTTAGAGAAGAAAAGATTGCTAGCTATTTCTTCACTATGTGGCCGGCCTCCTTGTAGAAAAAGAGAGAATAATGTTTCACCTCTTTGCCTCAAAGAAAAAACCCTAATGAGAAAATAGCTATAAAGTTAACTTTATACTACATCACATTTGAGTGGCAAACTTGTAATTAATTCAAGTTTGCATCCACTCTCCCTTATGGCCGGCTTTGTCTTTGTTATTGGGCTAATTTCCCATTTTGTTTTAGTTGTCATACAACTTAAACATAATGGGCTTTGTGGACCAAAACACTTTTGGGTCCCGAAACCTAAAACTAACTTAAAAGCCCAATACGAACCTTTCGTAAAATTAATTAACTAATTAATTAATCTTGACCATTTTCAATTAAACCATTTAATTGCATATCCATTTCATTTATATTTCTTCACTTTCATCCTTACTCGGTGTACGATCCATTAGGTTCTAATTAGCAAGGCAGTGGGCGATTGTTACTCTTAACGATCGATTATGAATTGAAACTACATTTCAATTCTCCCTTTGATTATGATTAGTGTTTGCTAATCTTCAGGGCTTCCACAAACCATGAGTGACACCTAGCAGCATGTCATGGTTACCCAAGCTAAGTAGAAGTGGTTGAAGAACCTATCCAGTTACAACTACAACGCAATACGGTCATTCTCTAATACAATACTCTTAATCACATTGTTTGAGTGATAGTTCGTTTCATGTCTACTATCCAATGTGATACTTCTCTATATGATTCAATTGAATATGATTTGGAACAAACTTCCTAAGTCATATTCATATGCTTTGGCCAAAGACTCCCGAATCATACCTTAGAGTATTCTTCTTCCACCATGGAAGGTTAGAGATCCCTTGTTGTGCATTCATATGCCTACATGGCTAATAGCTTGACCCCAACAATGCCGTGGACACTCTCGATGGAATGCCTTTGACATGATCAAAGATCAAGGACCTAACCATTAGACATCTATGATGCCTCAGGTCAAAGGACTACTTTGCATATTGCAACTTACGAGTTCTTACATGACATGTATGTTCAAACTCTATTTTGATCATTGTTCAGTGTACTTGATTACTCTTTCAAGCACCTATGTGTTTGTCTTAGTGTCCAACACTAAATGACTTGAGACTAGTCATACTCATGCTTGAGTTGACATAACACATACTAACCTTAGCGGATTATCAATGCCCAATTGGCAATCCTATGGTTAGGAACGTTTTAGGAATGAACATAAGAGAAAGGTCTTGTTAATCTAACTTACTTAAATCACTTATCTCTTAGATCAAATACATTCCTTGGATTCCCTTATTGCTTAAACACATGATACAATAAATAGTGATTAACAATAAGTTTTGCCCTTCATTAAACATATAATAGTTTAATACAATAAGTATTCCAAAAGCTATTACATCAAATGAGTGGCTTTGTGGGCATACTTCCAACACTCCTCTACTTTCTCCTTGCAAGGCTGCGACACAATAGAGATTTCTATGTATGATGGATGTGTGGTGCGAATTGTGGTGAAAGATGGATGATCTATGATTGTTGTGGCACAATGTATTTATAGAGAGAAGGGAAGGCACGGCAAGGTTGTGTTGGAGAAAGATTACACACTCCAATCCCACAAGGAAAAGCCTAATTCTATGGCAGAAACCAGGGAGAATAAGGAGAGGGTAATTGCGGCAGATTCTTAGGGGAAAGGATAAGGTAAGGTGCGGCATAGATTTAGGCTTCTAGAATTCTAATATTAGGTGTTCTAATGTGAAAATAATTCCCCCATGCAGCTGGAAATAAGGTAGGATAGGATAGGATAAGATAAGGTTAGCTTGGATAATGTTGGATAAGATAAGGTTGGTTAAGATAATGTTCCTTGTTTTTAGCTAATTCCTTATCCTCCAAGTCTTGACTTCATTTGCTTCATCTTTCAGCATATTCCTAGCCTCTTGAACTTCAAAAACGTCCATCCACCTTACTCTATGCATGTGCTATCCATTCTTGCCCAAAACTGCTCCAAATTGCACTTTCTTGCCAACTTTGTCATTTGAACCTGAAAACACACGAAAATAACTTAAAACACTCTAATAAGTAGAAATTAGCTATTTAAATGCAAGAAAACAAGCCAACTAAGTCGCATAAATATGCTCCTATCAATTACCAATGCAAACAGTAACTAAGAACTCATTAACAGATCCTGAAAAATTACAAGTAACAAAGCATCAAAACAAAAGAGTAACACATGGCCAAGGGCTTCATCGTAGCCCTCTCTTGTTTTATGCTTGCTTGAATTTAGTTTTTGGAATGGAGGAACTTCTCTTCTTGATTTTATGCAATCTTCAA